GTTAAAAATACAAACTTAATTACACAAAATATTGGAACAGTTCTCTACTATAAAAATGCGCCTACTTGGCTCAGAATTTGGCTATGAAGAATTCATTAAATTCCTGAGTCTAACAATCGTCGTTCGGATTTTGCACGGACTGTATTTGTACCCAAGACTCTACAGCCGTGTCAAACGAGTTGATCGACTTGGATTCGGCTATTCGAGCCAAATGTTAGCTAGGATTTTGGCTCAGAGTATACGAATCAACCGATGTCCCACGCATATCGGATTTTAGCACGGAAATCCAAATAGGCTCCTGCTTATCATGAGTAGATTTAAGGAGTTCTATATGACTCCAAAACATATAGGTATATCAATCGAAAAAAACTATTGCTACCCTAATTTGTATCCTATTTTGTACCTCCTTCCTATATTTGTGGTTCACAAAAGCATTTCATTAATATAGAGCAATTCATTCAGGTACAAATGAGATACCAAATGGGGTACCTCTAGCAAAATTGATATCAATCACTCAACTTTTTTAGTGGAGTTCCCTCCTAAAAACTGAGTGGTTATTGTGATGTCATATATTCTGTATAATATCATAAGAGATCAGAGTTATAAACAGCTCCTTAAATTTTTTTGTTCTTATCCAGGGGCGTATCTAGCATGGGGTGGGGGCAGCTGCCCCCACTCAACCCCCACCCAACCCTAATATATATATATATATATCCAATTGAAAGTTATACATATACTTTTGTTCTAAATAAAAGAATCTTATACAATAAGTACAATAGTCTAAAGTACATATGTCAGTGGCTGAAGGGAAATAGTGCGGGGATGAGTTCTGCCGATGTGTGTGCCAGAGGTCAAGGGTTCGACTTCTACTGGAGCTGCTTTTGTTTTTGTTTGTTTTGGCCTGAATCCTTTGAGTAAATCCAAATGATTTTACACTAATTTTTTTACTTTTTTTCTTGTTGGAAAGATCTAAACTACATCAATATATAACTGATTTTGTACATAATATAAACTATGTAGTATTTTTTTAATATACTTGTGATTTTAAATTTAAAGAATTCTAACTTGATGGTCCCTTCTTCCCTTAGTTATTCATTTATATATTCACATAATTTTGCACATATTATAGATTCCACGTGATAAAATTATTTCTAACAAAGTAAAATATAATTAAACATTATATCATAATGTTTTTGACGAGATAATATTTTGTTATTTATAATTGGTTTTACAATTTTTTCTCTCTATTATATTAGTCTGATTTTATAGTAAACGTTTTTCTTAATCCTAAGGTAAGTTTGCCCCCGCTGGCGCATTTTTCTGGATACGCTAATGTTCTTATCATAAAACCAACGAACAAAAAGTAATAAAAAGTGCATAAATAAACAAAATTGTAAATATGGTTGAAACTAGTCATTCTTGTCCAATCATATAGTCGTATGACCTCACCTGATTCCAGTAGATCTGTAGATATGTCGTGCGAGACAGAACATCAATGAATTTTATTCCAATATGAAATGCACCAGTATGATAAAAATATAGAATCACTCTTACAATCAATGGTGGTGGTCCGGGAGGGGGACGAGCCATCGATAGCTCCATTGACGATTTGAGGAAAAAAATGACTTATGAGAAAAGTAGATCTATGCTTGAAAGAGCGTCTTCAATAGCAATTAAACAGGAATATAGCATCATGAAACAACTTGCGTCGCTAATTTGAACAGATATCACCCATAAGGCGACTGTGGAAATTGACAGGATAATAACAACCCTAGACACACTAGGAAACGAAACACTGCTCATACGAGAACCAAACCAATTTTTAGACAATGTATAAGCAAAGAAGAAGAGAACTAACATTCTAAAGGAAAAATGGGTGAATAGAGCGGCTGGGATTTTTCATCCATGCTCTCCCATCCGACATCTAGTCATATTTTCAATACATTTTTTAAATCAAAATTTAGAGAAGTTCGCTTTTAGTCTACCACTCATAGGAGTTCATATACCATACACCCGATGTACTCTGCACAGTCGGTGGCATTTTTGTAATTTAAGTGAAAATCTAAGCTTCTGTTATTTGAGCATTAATGCACTTGTAATGAGTATCGTAATCTATTGTCTATTCTTTTTTATATTAAGCATCGTAATCTATTCTTAAGGAAGAGGAGGAGGGGGAGGGGAGGAGATCCGGATGGTTCGGTTCAAACTTCAAAGTCATTGGGCATCATAGCCTTTTTATTTCATTTGTGGTCTCTTTTTTTGTCCATGATTAATTTTATAAAAATAGATAATTATATAACGTCCCATTATCTATTGCTTATCTGCTAGGCTAATTGTATATAACTATGTTATAACATGGGATTTCATATCATATAATTAACTAGCTTTCAAACCCGTGCGATGCATGGGCAGTAATTAATTTACGTAATTTGAATTTGATTTCTTTTGGATCATATGTAATGTGATTTAAAAGAAAAATAAACTTCGTCTAATATAGAGCCTGTTAAATATAATGTGATTTAAAAGAAGTATTCTTTTTAAGATTCTATGAATATCTAATAGTTTTAATTTCTTTTTTAATTTCAATTATATGGTGGTTATAATTTTTATCATTATTTTAATAATTAAGAAAGAATTGTATGAAGATGGAGCAAAATGCGAAGTATTAACACAATTGCAAATCCGGGGCTTAGAATTCTAATCATTATCTCTTTCAAAAAAAGAATTTTAATCATTATCTCAACATAGAGTTTGGAAAAAGAAAATATTACATTTTAGGAAATGGGACACTATTATTACATTTTTTATTTTTATTATCAAATTACTTTGAAAACAAAATTAATAGCAATTTGGCTGATTTATGTGTTAAGTGGGCAAAAAACGAATACTTCATCTCTTTAATAGAATGTAATAAAAAAAGTATAAAAATGATTGTTACTTCGTGAGTCTGTGCTTAAGATTTGGTTATTAATTGTTGTGGTTCCAATTAAAGAATTTAATACTTCTCAAATACGTAATGGGTTTTGAAAAAGTTACTAAATTAATTATGGTAGATTTATACGGATTTTTATTTCCATATCAATATGCAATCAAAAATAGAATCTAGCTAATAAAAATAGAAGGTATAAAAATAACTAAATAATTAATATATATAACGACATGACATGATTATGTGGCGCTTTGTATGCTCTTAAAAAGTTCATCTTTTAAATATATATATTGATTATGGTTAAGTAGTGACATTATCTGATTATCGACTCTGTTTGATTTAGTTATGTGTAACTTGCATATGCTTGTTTATTATGGTAGGTGACGATATGCGATGAGCAATGGTTACTCTGTATGGTTACTCCGTAGCTTCTATTTTTGTGTTCGTTTTTTTTTTTGGATAAAATGTAAATATATATATCCTGAAAAGTAGCAAATTACAATGCATCAAACTATCTAAGCTAGTAAATACTAACTAAAAATAGTAACTACTGTTTGCCCACCCCCACCTCACGGTAGGGGTGAGAGATTTTTAAACAGTTCAGAATTCCCAACTAGCACGGGATAGGCCCCCGGCTTAGTATCAAAATAAGTCAGTCCCGGAAAGAAGTCAAACCGGCCCAATCCATAAGCCATACATAAGCTCTTAAACACTCAATTAAGAGCAGCCTCCAGCCCATGAAGAACTTGGGAAGTTGGTAAGTGATCAGGCCTGTATTAAAGCCCAACACAGCCCACATCCCATATCAAACGCTGCTCACGTGTCAACAGCTCCTGTCTCCAAAATTCCAGAAGAGACCAAGCATCCAGGATCCAGGCCAAGAAACAGCCCGTCACCGAAGCCCAAATCCAGCAGCTCGAGCGCCCCAGCAGGCCAAACCCTAGGGTTTCAACCCAATAGTGAGGCCTCCCATTGCTTCGAGTCTACGCCGCAACCGTTCCATTTGAATTCGTTGACCAGCCACGTCATCGTGACGTCAGTCAACATCCCATCAACCGTTCCATTGTCCCCCACCTCCGCCAGGCTCCGGCGTCCTCCCAGCATCACCGGCGAGAAGGTAAAAAACTGCCAGACTTCATTCAAGCCAAACCGAAGCTCCCCCTACCACCCCCCACCCCCGTTGAGCCCCGGCGACCCCCAACGACATTGGTAGACGGCGCCGTGAGGCGGAATGACAGTAGCTGGAAAAGAGAACGTCAAGACTTTGACCGGGTAGGCAACCTTCCCTTTCAGCGAGACGTAGCCTCCGGTGGTGGCAACCGGCGATCCCGGTGAGAACCAAAACCAACCCTGTGACACCGCACCCGAATGTCCTTGGAAATTTGGTTTGAATATTCAAAGCTTATGTGTTGGATTTCTGATTCCCAAACATTTTGTAAAACGATCAATGTTCTACGTAGTGCATGGTTGAGTATCGTACTGTTCAAACTCGTACATTAGTGTCGGGCTTCGCAAATACTTACTCGGGACTTATTAATAAATAAAAGAGCCCAACATTATCTAAATAAGTGATCGAATGATTAAAGAAGAATACAAATGCCTATAACCCCATCTTTGGCATTTTTGAGCTAAATAACGGGAGTAGGATTTTCCTTCTATAATATCCATCAAGTAAATTATTGGGATGAGCCTACACATATTGGAGATCAATAATGTGATTTAGGAAGTTGACTTGTTCTAAATAAATTAGGATGAGTACAAAAAGACATCTTTTGACAAAGATAAAACAATAGGACCCATTTTCCCCATTTTTGGAAGTATTGGTAGATAATTTGGATCCCAAAATGATTGGGATCAATTGGGAACCACTCCACATGATATTAGTACCTGAAAGACAAATAAAAAGGGGTTAGGAGACTTACCTTGGCCGGCCATTATGGAGGAGAGCTGCACATGACTTGATAGGAATCAAATGTTGGGCCACCATCCCTATTTTTCGCACAAAATGGTGTGCTGGTTGTCTCCACTCATTATGGGAGTTATACTCGACCAAATGAGGTGTATAAGGTGTCTTTGGATAGATTTTGAAGTCTATTTTTATAATTGAGTGGCCACAGTTCGAGAGGAGAGAGCAATCATCCAAAAAGCGATCTGGAGCGAGCAGAGGTCTGTGAACTCGAGCTGTGAAAGTGCTGAGACTGTTTGGTCGATATCTCGAGTTTTACAAGTCCAATTAAGGCGTGTGAGATACCAAAAGAAAGCTCTCAAGACGAGGAATCCGTGAAGGTCTGGTTTGCATCAATCGGAGTAGAGGAAGGCTTCCAAATCGTCCGAGCAGAACGCGACCTCGCAGGAACGGATTTACTCTTCTAAGTGAGTTGTCAATCCCAAAACCTTTCCATTCATTTTCCAAATGATATGAACGATTGGTGGGACTATTATACACTACTACAAGTGTATAAAACATCCCTATTAAGTTATTTTATTGATGTAAAGGTTAGATACTAACCTAGATGCAAATATTGGAAAACTAGGAATCGAGTTAGCCGGAAAACACCCGTTCTAGGGGCTGTTTTCGTATCAACGATTCGGGGTTGAAATAGCAACTTGAGGAGGCTGTTTAGCACCCATTTTCAAGCAAGGAACTAGTTCCCAATCTTCCTTGGCCGAGGCTTTGGTCATTGGATCGAGAAGGAAGGTTTTAAAGCTCATTTGAGGTGAGGATCGACATCTAGTTGCTTACAACTTGTAGGTTAAGCACGAGATTACCTAAATGCCTAAATAATGTTTTCCATGGATTATGATGATAAATTATTGATGGAATATTGATCTATTTTCCAAAGAATGAAATGGGAAATGATTTGGTAAAGTATAGACAAAAATGGAGTTAAATGAACTATTGTGTGAAATAGGCATTTTACTCATGTGTGAATTGTGTAGATACATAAATGATTATTTATGTATTACATTGAATGATTAAGTTGCTGCTACATATCTCTAAATATGTAGGGTTTTACAAATGGAATATATGATGGATAAGAATAATCTTAATAGTATTGAAATACTAGTTAATGATTGTTGTAATTGTTAAGGGAATTGAATCTAAGGATTTGATTATATTTGATGTACTTGATTGTGATGCAAGTGACAAATTTGATGTAATGTGATGCTAAGACCATGGTTGGGCAGTCCGTAGGGATGTCCCAAAATAGATTATTGATATTACAATTCTAGGCATAGTGAGTGCTTAGGAATTGGGGTCTATGCCAATGTAAGGAGATGTACTTGAGCCCGTGCTCATAGAATTGCATTGGGTAGACATGATGAGGTGATTGTTGTGCATGGTGATGTAGTCGAGTTGGACTCGAGAAATGCACGGTGGAGTAGTTAGCTTATGTTAATAAAGGTGCATGGTGATGTAGTCGAGTTGGACTCGAGAATGCAAACACATGTGTTAGGGTTGAACCCTATGTATTGTTGTGACTAGGGGTCACGGGATTTTGGGGTATGTTTGATAAACAAACCTTGGGCCTACGGGCCGACTACTTGACTTTATATATAAAGTAAGTACATTTTAAAACGGGGTAACTTGGGGTTACGGCCTAGATCATATTATCACCCTATTTGAGGGTCTTGTGTTTGAAATACTTGTTGTATATCTATTAGATGCCATCCACACCAGCACTTTATAGCCGTATAGAGTGCTGACCCCTTCGGGGGCGTCCCACCACCATTTTTCAGGTTGAGGCTAGAGCTTGCTTCCTGTGCTCGTTGCTCGAGGGATCATCTAGGAGGGAAGACTTGGTTCGTGCTTCCTCCATTCAGTTTTAAACATTAATAAACATGCTCATGGATATTTTACTTTAGAGCCTGCGTGCTCATGAATAGCCCTGTGTGGCCCTTTTGTTTTAAACAATGTTTTTCCGCTGCGTTATGAATTACTTATTATGCTTGTTTATGGATGTGTGATTGATATTGAAGACGCCTTGTATAATATGAATGTGTTGGACTGCGGTTGACTATTCGTATTGTACGGCGGGTTGTTGACGTGTCCGGATAGGTCCGGGGCGTGACAATTAAGTTGGTATCAGAGCCCTTAGTCCATAAACTTCATAATGAAGTCTCAAAATTCTCTTTTTGAAAAAGATTTTGAAAACCATGAGCATAGAAGTTTTGTACTTGGAGAGCTTTGGTACTTGGGTTGCAAGGTCTCTAATTGTTAAGATGGTACCCTTAGCAATTGGTATGGCGGTGACTCGAGCCAAAATGTGTCTTAAGTACCTATCCGTCAATTGACATTTGATACGAGTCTAATGACTCTTTCCAAATTTCTTTCAGAAATGGACCGTGGTGGCAGGATTACTAGGAGGAACCCGACGGGCCGTGTACCAGTGGGGACTGGACAGGGCAGTCGAAGGACCTCTAGGGCATCTAGAGGAGCTGGCCGTGGAGGCCGATCACAGACCGTGAGTGACGGTCATGTTGACACAGAAAGTGAAACCTACTGGTCCTATGAGGACTCGACTTACCAACCGGAAACCGAGCCGGTTGAGACCCCTTACGAAGGGGATGACGATGATGTGAGCGATGAAGAGGGGGAGAATGACTCCCTAGCAAGAATAGAGGCGCTGCTCCAACAATATCAACGGGAGCGCGAGGAAAGGAGGGAACGCCGAAGGCGCCGGGGAGGGCGAATTTCGGGTGAGGCTTCAAGAGGAAGAAGCCATGGCGATTCTCGGGCCCACATTGAACCACATGGGGGCCGGGGTGATGGAGGTCCGATCATAAGGATCTCCAAATACCTCAAGGAGGCACGAGACTTGGGGTGCAAACCCTTCAACGGAGCAGGCGACATCTCGGTCGCCGCGGAATGGATCAAGAGGTTGAACGAGGCAGCCCTTGATATGCAACTCACCCCCGAATTTAAACTAAGGGTGGCGGTGAGATTGCTTGAAGGGATGGCGTCCACATGGTGGGATGGAGCCAAGGGAAAGTATGGCAATACCGTGACTTGGGAGAATTTCCGACAGGAGTTCTTTGCCCAATATTATTCTGATTTTGAGGTGAACGCTAAAAGGAGAGAGTATACCCTCCTGACCCAAGGTGGCAAGATGACAGTGAGACAACTTGAACATAAATTCAGGGAGCTCGCGGAGTTCATACCGGAGTATGTCTGTGACGAGAACCGGATGGTAAATCACTTCTGGGATGCCTTAGACCTGGAGGTGCGTGAGAGGGCAACACAGTTGCCTAACATGACCTTTAGCCAAGTGGTCGAGCAAGGGTTGAAAGGAGAGAAAGAATGGGAAGAGAGAAAGTTGAAAAACGCCGAAGAGGCGAAGAAGAGAAAGTGGGAGAGCCATGGACCTCAAGGTCCTAGCAAAAAGGGGAACCATGGGGGAGGAGGATCTTTTCGGACACCCCCACTGCCACCTAGGGGAAGCCATGGCCCGAGCGGGAAATCACAAGCCTCGGGGGTGACTCGTTGCAAGAATTGCAAGAGGAACCACCCGGGAAAATGCCGTGACCCTCCTAGATGCTACCAATGCGGGAGCACCGGTCACATGAAGATGAGCTGCCCACAACTGGGCGGGACGAGGGCATCGGGGCCAAGTAGTGGTAATACCGGGACACGGAATCAAGCCGGGACTTCACAAGCGTCCAGGGGGCAAGGGGGAGCAAGCGCAAGCAACACGCCGTCCGTAAATCAAGGAAGGACTCAAGCTAGGGTCTACGCGATGACGGAGGCGGATGCTCAAGCTAACCCGGATTCCGTTGCAGGTATTACCTTTTGTATACTTATGTTTTACCCTTGATTAGTCCATAAATTGAGGTTGCTAGTCGTTGGGATCATTGCACGAAGCTTTGGGGTCAAACGGAGCGAAATCGGGCGAAAGACGGCTGATTTCCGCCAACGCACACCAGGCTGGACCATACGCACGGCCGTGCGTTGTCCGTGCGTTGGTCCGTGCGTTGGTGGCAGTAGCAACCCGGGAAGAAATTGCTATACGCACGGCCGTGCGTTGTCCGTGCGTTGGTCCGTGCGTTGGTGGCAGTAGCAACCGGGAAGAAATTGCTATACGCACGGACGTGCGTTGTCCGTGCGTTGGTCCGTGCGTTGGTGGCAGTAGCTCCGTTTTGAGGTTATAAGACACGCACGCCGTGCGTACCTCCTAGGCACGCCGTGCGTACCTCCTGGGCAGCCCAAAGTCGACTTTTTCGCGCCGTATTGCAACGTTAAGACCGGTTCTTGATCCCAAACACGTGTGTGAACATAATAAACCTCTCTAAATGTATAGGAATGATAGGAAAAATGTCTTACATGGTTCATAAATGTAGGGACACTAAAGATTAATGGGAAGGATGCGCGAATCCTTATCGATACCGGGGCGCAACGTTCATTTGTGAATGAAGCGTTCGCCAAGATGTTGGGGGTGCAATCCGCACCATTGATGCAAACCTTAGTGGTATCAACACCACTAGGAGATGACGTGGAAAGAACTTGTTATTATCCATCTTGTGGGGTGGAGGTTAATGGTCAAACCTTGACGTGTGACTTCGTACCGCTGGGCATGATTGAATTCGATGCAATCCTAGGGATGGATTGGCTAGAAAGGAACCATGCTAGGGTAGATTGCTACACGAAGGTTCTTGAACTCGAAGGCAATGATGGGGAGACCCTAAGCTTCGAGGGCGATCGAGGGAGATCAAATAGCTGTATCATATCCGCCGTGAGGGCGAGAAGTATGATGAGAAAGGGATGTCACGCATATCTAGCATACGTGGTTGACAAAACCAAAGAGGAAACGATCATTGATGATGTGAGGGTGGTTTGTAAGTATCCGGATGTCTTCCCTAAAGACCTACCGGGGCTGCCACCTGACAGGGAGATTGAATTTGTGATCGAGGTCGAGCCGGGTACCAAACCAATCTCCATACCGCCATACCGTATGGCACCCGCTGAACTTAACGAGTTGAAAACCCAATTGCAAGAGCTTTTGGATAACGGTTTCATTAGACCAAGCCACTCCCCGTGGGGAGCACCAGTTCTTTTTGTGAAAAAGAAAGATGGGACACTTCGAATGTGTATTGACTATCGTCAACTGAACAAGGTCACAATCAAGAATAGGTATCCTTTGCCTAGAATTGATGACTTGTTTGACCAACTACGAGGGGCAACCGTGTTTTCAAAGATTGATTTGAGGTCGGGTTACCATCAATTGAAGATTAAGGAAGACGACATACCAAAGAGTGCTTTTCGCACAAGGTATGGGCATTTTGAGTTCCTTGTTATGTCGTTTGGGTTAACGAACGCCCCAGCGGCATTCATGGACTTGATGAACCGAGTATTCCATAAATACTTGGATCGATTCGTGATTGTGTTCATAGACGACATTTTGATTTACTCAAAGAGTGAGGAAGAGCATGAAGAGCACTTGATACTCGTTCTTGAGACACTACGGGAGAAGCAACTTTATGCCAAATTTTCTAAATGTGAATTTTGGCTAAAGGAAATTGGCTTTCTCGGGCATGTGGTTTCGGGATCGGGAATTGCTGTTGATAATAAGAAGATAGAGGCCATTACCGAATGGGAGAGACCAAAGAATGTCAAGGAAATTCGTAGTTTCCTTGGATTGGCAGGCTATTACAGAAAGTTCGTGGAAAAGTTCTCGGTTTTGGCGTCACCGTTGACGAAGCTCACTCGAAAGGGAGCTAAGTTTATATGGGATGACAAATGTGAGAAAGGATTCATCGAACTGAAGAAGAGATTGACCGAGGCACCGATACTTGCATTACCCAAACAGGGTGTGGGGTACGATGTCTATAGTGACGCGAGCATCCAAGGGTTTGGGTGTGTGTTGATGCAGGAAGGGAGGGTAATTGCCTATGCTTCACGACAGTTGAAGAAGCATGAGGTAAATTATCCTACCCATGATCTGGAGCTGGGAGCAGTGGTGTTTGCACTGAAGATATGGAGACATTATCTCTACGGGGAGACATGTCACATATACACTGATCACAAGAGCTTGAAGTACGTGTTTACTCAGAAAGAGTTAAACATGAGACAGAGACGGTGGATGGAGCTGATAAAAGACTACCATCTAGTGATAGAGTACCACCCAGGCAAGGCAAACGTGGTGGCAGATGCTTTGAGCCGGAAGAGCTCGTCTGGGGCATTGCTAGCTAATTTAAGGGCATTAAGAGCCCAACTGGAGGTATCCAGCGATGGTGCCTTATTGGCACGATTTGAGGTGAGACCTACTTTACTTGATGAGATCAAGAAGGGTCAGGAAACCGACGAAGAAATTATGAAGATCCGGGAACGCATGCAAGCGGGACCGGTGGAGGACTTCAGAGAAAGAGATGACGGTCTCTTATTATTTCGTGACCGAGTGTGTGTACCGGCAGATGAGGAGCTCCGAAAGTCCATCTTAGAGGAGGCTCATTCATCGGCTTATGCCATGCACCCGGGGGGCACGAAAATGTACCGTGACTTGAAAGAAAGTTACTGGTGGTCTGGAATGAAGAGGGAAATAGCCGAGTACATCAGTCGGTGCCTTACTTGTCAACAAGTTAAGGCGGAACATCAGCACCCAGCAGGCTTATTACAGCCACTTTCCATTCCTGAATGGAAGTGGGAGCACGTGACTATGGATTTCGTGGTAGGTTTACCACGGACAATCAGGAACTATGATGCAGTTTGGGTCGTTGTGGATAGGCTCACAAAGAGTGCACACTTCTTGCCTATCAACTCTACCTACCCACTTGAGAGGTTAGCCAAATTGTATACGGATGAGATCGTGAGGCTGCATGGGGTCCCAGTGACCATTGTATCCGATAGAGACCCACGATTCACATCACGTTTTTGGCCGAAATTTCAGGAGTCTATGGGAACGAGGTTGAAGTTCAGTACTGCTTTCCACCCACAGACGGATGGACAGTCTGAAAGAGTCATACAGATCTTGGAAGACATGCTGAGGGCCTGTGCATTGGAGTTCCAAGGAAGTTGGGACAACCACTTAGCCCTTGTGGAGTTTGCCTATAACAATAGTTATCAGGCAAGCATCGGCATGCCTCCATACGAGGCATTGTATGGGAGGAGGTGTCGTACACCGTTATGCTGGGACGAGGTTGGCATGGCCAAACTCGAAGGTACTGAGTTGGTTGAGGTCACCAAATCAAAGGTGAAATTGATTCGAGAGAGACTCAAAGCGGCTCAGGATAGGCAAAAGAGTTATGCAGATAAGCGTCGAAGAACCTTAGAGTTTAAGGTTGATGACGAGGTATTCTTGAAAGTTTCTCCTTGGAAAGGAATCATTCGATTTCAAACCCGAGGGAAGCTTAACCCACGGTACATAGGTCCATTCAGAATTATAGAGAGGATTGGGGCCGTTGCATATCGTCTACAGTTGACTCCTGAGTTAGAGAAGATACATAATGTGTTTCATGTATCCATGCTTAAGAAGTATGTGCATGATCCCTCTCACGTATTGGAAAAGCCACCTGTAGAGGTACGTGAGGATTTGAACTACGCTGTTCAACCTATCAAGGTCACCGATAGAAAGGTGAAGAAACTGAGAAGCAAGGAAGTCCCAATGGTTAAAGTCCTGTGGAAGAGCGATCGGGTCGAAGAAGAGACATGGGAAACAGAGGCTTTGATGAGGAAGCAGTATGCTTTCCTATTCGAGTAGAGCTGTGAATTTCGGGGACGAAATTCCTGTTAAGGGGGGGTGAACTTGTGACACCGCACCCGAATGTCCTTGGAAATTTGGTTTGAATATTCAAAGCTTATGTGTTGGATTTCTGATTCCCAAACATTTTGTAAAACGATCAATGTTCTACGTAGTGCATGGTTGAGTATCGTACTGTTCAAACTCGTACATTAGTGTCGGGCTTCGCAAATACTTACTCGGGACTTATTAATAAATAAAAGAGCCCAACATTATCTAAATAAGTGATCGAATGATTAAAGAAGAATACAAATGCCTATAACCCCATCTTTGGCATTTTTGAGCTAAATAACGGGAGTAGGATTTTCCTTCTATAATATCCATCAAGTAAATTATTGGGATGAGCCTACACATATTGGAGATCAATAATGTGATTTAGGAAGTTGACTTGTTCTAAATAAATTAGGATGAGTACAAAAAGACATCTTTTGACAAAGATAAAACAATAGGACCCATTTTCCCCATTTTTGGAAGTATTGGTAGATAATTTGGATCCCAAAATGATTGGGATCAATTGGGAACCACTCCACATGATATTAGTACCTGAAAGACAAATAAAAAGGGGTTAGGAGACTTACCTTGGCCGGCCATTATGGAGGAGAGCTGCACATGACTTGATAGGAATCAAATGTTGGGCCACCATCCCTATTTTTCGCACAAAATGGTGTGCTGGTTGTCTCCACTCATTATGGGAGTTATACTCGACCAAATGAGGTGTATAAGGTGTCTTTGGATAGATTTTGAAGTCTATTTTTATAATTGAGTGGCCACAGTTCGAGAGGAGAGAGCAATCATCCAAAAAGCGATCTGGAGCGAGCAGAGGTCTGTGAACTCGAGCTGTGAAAGTGCTGAGACTGTTTGGTCGATATCTCGAGTTTTACAAGTCCAATTAAGGCGTGTGAGATACCAAAAGAAAGCTCTCAAGACGAGGAATCCGTGAAGGTCTGGTTTGCATCAATCGGAGTAGAGGAAGGCTTCCAAATCGTCCGAGCAGAACGCGACCTCGCAGGAACGGATTTACTCTTCTAAGTGAGTTGTCAATCCCAAAACCTTTCCATTCATTTTCCAAATGATATGAACGATTGGTGGGACTATTATACACTACTACAAGTGTATAAAACATCCCTATTAAGTTATTTTATTGATGTAAAGGTTAGATACTAACCTAGATGCAAATATTGGAAAACTAGGAATCGAGTTAGCCGGAAAACACCCGTTCTAGGGGCTGTTTTCGTATCAACGATTCGGGGTTGAAATAGCAACTTGAGGAGGCTGTTTAGCACCCATTTTCAAGCAAGGAACTAGTTCCCAATCTTCCTTGGCCGAGGCTTTGGTCATTGGATCGAGAAGGAAGGTTTTAAAACTCATTTGAGGTGAGGATCGACATCTAGTTGCTTACAACTTGTAGGTTAAGCACGAGATTACCTAAATGCCTAAATAATGTTTTCCATGGATTATGATGATAAATTATTGATGGAATATTGATCTATTTTCCAAAGAATGAAATGGGAAATGATTTGGTAAAGTATAGACAAAAATGGAGTTAAATGAACTATTGTGTGAAATAGGCATTTTACTCATGTGTGAATTGTGTAGATACATAAATGATTATTTATGTATTACATTGAATGATTAAGTTGCTGCTACATATCTCTAAATATGTAGGGTTTTACAAATGGAATATATGATGGATAAGAATAATCTTAATAGTATTGAAATACTAGTTAATGATTGTTGTAATTGTTAAGGGAATTGAATCTAAGGATTTGATTATATTTGATGTACTTGATTGTGATGCAAGTGACAAATTTGATGTAATGTGATGCTAAGACCATGGTTGGGCAGTCCGTAGGGATGTCCCAAAATAGATTATTGATATTACAATTCTAGGCATAGTGAGTGCTTAGGAATTGGGGTCTATGCCAATGTAAGGAGATGTACTTGAGCCCGTGCTCATAGAATTGCATTGGGTAGACATGATGAGGTGATTGTTGTGCATGGTGATGTAGTCGAGTTGGACTCGAGAAATGCACGGTGGAGTAGTTAGCTTATGTTAATAAAGGTGCATGGTGATGTAGTCGAGTTGGACTCGAGAATGCAAACACATGTGTTAGGGTTGAACCCTATGTATTGTTGTGACTAGGGGTCACGGGATTTTGGGGTATGTTTGATAAACAAACCTTGGGCCTACGGGCCGACTACTTGACTTTATATATAAAGTAAGTACATTTTAAAACGGGGTAACTTGGGGTTACGGCCTAGATCATATTATCACCCTATTTGAGGGTCTTGTGTTTGAAATACTTGTTGTATATCTATTAGATGCCATCCACACCAGCACTTTATAGCCGTATAGAGTGCTGACCCCTTCGGGGGCGTCCCACCACCATTTTTCAGGTTGAGGCTAGAGCTTGCTTCCTGTGCTCGTTGCTCGAGGGATCATCTAGGAGGGAAGACTTGGTTCGTGCTTCCTCCATTCAGTTTTAAACATTAATAAACATGCTCATGGATATTTTACTTTAGAGCCTGCGTGCTCATGAATAGCCCTGTGTGGCCCTTTTGTTTTAAACTGTTTTTCCGCTGCGTTATGAATTACTTATTATGCTTGTTTATGGATGTGTGATTGATATTGAAGACGCCTTGTATAATATGAATGTGTTGGACTGCGGTTGACTATTCGTATTGTACGGCGGGTTGTTGACGTGTCCGGATAGGTCCGGGGCGTGACAAACCCACCCAGACCACCCTTCTCCGTATCTAGAAAAGTAGTTCCCGGCACCGGCCAAAACGTGTTCAACACAGACCAACCAAGAACAGTCCAAACCAAAGAGAGACCACCGGAGCAGTTTCAGACTCCGGCCACGATAGAGGAGCGACATCGTGAGCACAGAGGACCACGGTCGTGAGACGAACTAGCAGTCAAAGAACCACTAGACCTGTTTGGCCGTCCACATCTACAGACCACCTAGGCTCACCAGCCATTTTTCCGGTACCAGCAAGCCAAGAGGGCAGATTCATAACCAGACCACCGAAGTGGTAGGCAGACTTCCAAAAAATTCAAGCTAAACACCATGAAAGTCCAGCCCACCGGATCCAGGAGGGCCCCGGCGGCAGCAACCACCGTGAATGGCGGCGTCGGACGTCCGGGAAGGGGGAAGAGAGAGAAACTAGGAGGAGCCTAGTGAGAGACGCTCTCAACGCTCTCTAGAACCCTCTATTTTTGTGTTCTTGATTATAGCAATGGTTGTAACTTGTAGGTATTACTGAAGACTTAGATGATGAAACGGTTAGTAGCACAAGAAGGGGTGGGGGGATTGTGTGTATGGAATCGTGGCAGTTTTTCACCAAGTCTGGTGTGGGGTAAAGGGCGAGACAAAGTAAATAAGTACGCAAGGATTTATTTTCAAAAAAAAATACGCAAGGATTTAACGAGGAAAAGTCCATTGGCTCAAAAGGGATAAAAAAACCTCGACCTCCCTCGGAGGAATTTGAAATTACATCACTAAATTAAAGTCTTTGAATGGTTACAAGAGAAACTATGTCACGCCCCGGACCTATCCGGACACGTTAACAACCCGTCGTACAATACGAATAATCAACAACAGTTAAACATACATAATAAGCAATCCAATACGCAGCGGAAAACGTAGTTTTAAAAAATGCCACACAAGGCAAACATGAGCACGCAGGCTCTATAGTCAAAATATCCATGGGCATGTTTATTATTGTTTGAACAAAATGGAGAAAGCACGAACCAAGTCTTCTCTCCAAGATGATCACCCGAGCAACGGGCACCGGTAGCAAGCTCTAGCCTCAACCTGAAATGGTGGTGGAATGCCCCCGAAGGGGTCAGTACTCTATATGGCTATAAAGTACTATATGGATGACATCTAATAGATATACAACAAGTATTTTAAACACATGACCCTCAAATAGCGTGATAATATTACATGGGTAATAACCCCCAAGTTACCCCGTTTGAAAACATACTTACTTTATATAAAGTCAAGTAGTCGGCCTGTGGGCCCATGTTTATTTAGAAATTATCATTCCCATTCCCCGTGACTACAAGTCATGACAACTCATAGAGTCCAACATATCTCAATTGCATAGCAAGGGCTCGGCCCAACTATATTTCTATGCCACTCACAACAATTGCATGGCAAGGGCTCGGCCCAACTACGTTTCCATGCAAATCACAATTACATGGCAAGGGCTCGTCCCAACTACATTTTCATGCAATCCTAAAGTCCGGTTCTAATTTATCATCATAGTCCAATTCCTAAGCAAGTTCTATGCCTAGAGTTTTCATACCAAGTAGATACTTTGGATCACCCATTAGGACTACCCATGCTTGATCTTAGTTTCATATTAAATAAATTTAGACACTTGAAGTATATTCAAGTGCATTACATACAATCCAAACCTTAGGATCAATTCTATTAACAATTGCCAATAATCATTAACTAGTATTTTGATACTATTATGATGATTGTTATCCAAAAAAATATTCTCATTTGTAACTTCCTACATATTTATAGATATGTGGTAGAAACTTAAGTATCCAATTATAATACATAAATATTCATTTATGTATCTACACAATTCATACATGAGTAAAAATGCCTATTTCACATAATAGTTCATTAATAGCTCATTTAACTCCATATTATCAATATGGCATCTATTCATTATCAAATTCATTCCTTATCAAACATATCAATATTTTATCAATTTTTAAGCATTATAATCCATGAAAACATGATTTAGACAATTTGGTAATCTCATGCTTAACCTACAAGTTGTAAGCAATTAGATGTTGATCCTCACCTTAATTGAGATTTAAGCTTTTCAGGAATAGAAAACAACCCAAACTGCGTCATAGTTTCTAATTGTCCGTGGTAAACCCACCACGAAAACCATAATCACATGTTCCCACTTCCATTCAGGAATAGAAAGTGGATGCAATAAGCCTGCTCGATGCTGATGTCCTGCGTTAACTTGTTCAAGTAAAGCATCGACTGATGTACTCGGCTATTTCCCTCTTCATACCATACCACCAGTAGCTTTCTTTCAAATCCCTGTATATCTTCGTGCCTCCCGGGTGAATAGCATACGACGATGAAAGAGCCTCCTCTAGAATGGACTTTCAGAGCTCACCATTTGATGGTACACATACTCAGTCACGGAATAACAAGAGACCATCGTCTCTCACGGAAATCCTCCACCGGTCCCGCTAGCATGCGTTCTCGGACCTTCTTGAGCTCATCATCTAGTTCTTGTCCTTTCTTGATCTCATAAAGTAAGGTAGGTCTCACCTCAAACCTCACCACCAACGCGCCATCAGTAGATACTTCCAATCGAGCTCTCAATGTTCTCAAGTTGGTTATCAATGCCCTAGACGAACTCTTCCGTCTATGGGCATCGGCCATAACATTTTCCGAGTAAACACGTACTTCAAGCTCTTATAGTGCAAACACCACTGCCCCCCATTCTAAGTCATGAGTACGATAGTTTACTTCGTGCTTATTCAACTGTCATGAAGCATTGACAATTACCTTCCCCATCTGCATTAACACACATCCGAGCCCCTGAATGCTCGCATCACTATAGACGTCGTATCCCATACCTTGTTTTGACAAGGCGAGTATTGGTGCCTCAGTTAACCTCTTCTTCAGTTCTAAAATCCTTTCTCACATCGGTCATCCCATACAAACTTAGCCCCTTTTCAAGTGAGCTTCATCATTGGTGATGCCAAAACTGAGAACTTCTCCATGAACTTTCTATAGTATTCCGCTAATCCAAGGAAATTGCGGATCTCCTTCACGTTCTTAGGCCTTTCCCATTCCGTGATAGCCTCAATCTTCTTGTTGTCCACGGCAATGTCTGATTCAGAAACCACATGCCCTAGAAAGCCAATCTCCTTAAGCCAAAACTCACACTTAGAAAATTTGGCATAGAGTTGCTTCTCTCGTAATGTTTCAAGAACGAGAACCAAGTGCCTCTCATGCTCTTCTTCACTCCTTGAGTAAATCAAGATGTCATCTATGAACACGATCACAAATTGATCCAAGTACTTATGGAATACTCGGTTCATCAAGTCCATGAATGCCGTCGGGGCATTAGTTAGCCCAAATGGCATAACTAAGAACTCAAAGTTACAATGCCTCGTGCGGAAAACACTTTTTGGTATGCCACTTTCCTTGATCTTCAGTTGGTGATACCCTGACCTCAAGTCAGTCTTTGAGAATACTTTTGCTCCTCGGAGTTGGTCAAACAAGTCATCAATTATAGGTAGAGGATACCAATTCTTGATGGTGGCCTTGTTCAACTGTCGGTAGTCAATACACATTCGTAGGGTCCCATCTTTCTTTTTCACAAAAAGGACTGGTGCTCCCCACGATGAATAGTTGGGTCTAATGAAAACATTATCCAATAGCTCTTGCAATTGGGTTTTCAATTCATTTAGTTCAGCAGGAGCCATCCGGTATGGTGGTATAGAGATTGGTTTGGTGTCGGGCTCGACCTCGATCACAAACTCAATCTCTCTATTGGGTGCAAGCCCCGGTAGGTGTTTAGGGAAGACCTGCGGGTATTTACAAACTACCCTCACATCATTGATGTTCGTTTCCTCGGTTTTGGCAACCACGTATGCTAGATACGTGTGACATCCCTTTCTCATCATACTCGCTCTCACGGCGGATATGATGCAACTGTTTGATTTGCCTCGATCACCCTCGAAGTGTAGGGTATTCCCATCATTGCCTTCGAGTTCTAGATAGGGGTGTGCACGGGTCGGGTTCGGGCGGGTCGGGTTTGCTAACCCTAAACCCGTTCGGGTTTTTTAATTTAAATATTAGGCCCGACCCTTTGATATTTCAAATCGGGTATTTCGGATATTTTTAAGTCGGATATTATCGGATATCGGGTCGGGTTTCAGATATTTCGGTTATATTAAAAAAATTATAATTGGATAATTAAAATGTTTAAATGACATTATAACAAAAATTGTACACACTAGTGCACTAAACTTCCAAATTACACAAATAATTTAACACAAATTGCACAAATAATTACACAAATAACTGAACACAAGTATTATTTAACATATTCAAAGTACACACTACATAATTTAATATATTTCGGATATTTTGGTTATATCAAAACACATTATAATTGGATAGTTAAAGTGTTGGAATGCCACTTTAACAAAAATTGTACACACTAGTTCACTATACATTCAATTTACACAAATAATTTAATACAAATTACACAAATAATTACACAAATAATTGAACATAAGTATTAATTTAAATATTCAAAGTACACACTAACATATATTTCGGATATTCGGGCGGGTCGGGTTGGGATTTCACAAACCCTACCCGCCATCCGGTCTAGGCCCATTACTAATCGGATTTTCGGTTTCGGGGTTTTCGGGTCGGATATCCACTTCGGTTCGGATAATATCCGAAAAAAATATCGGGTTTTTCGGGTCGGATCGGGTTTTGCTCAGCCATAGTTCTAGAACCTTCGTATAACAATCGACCCTAGCATGATGCTTTTCTAGCCAACCCATCCCTAGGATTGCATCGAATTCAATAATACTCAGCAGTAGGGGTGGTTCGGTACGG